CCGCGACAGCCTTCCTCAATCTTCAAACGGCCATGTGGCAATGTGCTGTTAGTTCACAGCATTGGGGATGGCCACCTCCAATTAGAACAAGCGCAAGGTGGAGGTCCTGCGCTGGCGGGGGGCTCGGGAAATTCTTGCACTTTCGTTACGCATGAAGCTCCAAGTCGAGACATCCTCACTGCCTGCTCATGAACCAGGCGCCCGCTCGGAACTTTCTCCAGACTCAGGCGGTCAGATTCCCCTTCCCTGGTTTCGGCAAAGGGGCAACACTGGCGGCCCGAACTCGACCACCCCCTCCTTCACCCCGCCTCTCCCTTGACATCTTTTCCGTTCGTCTCCCCCGTCATCCATGGCTCGCCCCTGTTGCGCTGACGCTGCGACTGGCCTTCGCGATGTTCCTGCTCATGTGTATGATCCCCCCCCTTTCTGCCCCATCGCCATTCCGCGCGCGCGCATCATGGCCCTCTCCCTGTCCCAATCATCCTGCTCATGTTCCTCCTCCTCCTCCTCCTCCTCCTCCTCCTCCTCCTCCTCATGCCCCTCCCCACCCACCCACCAGCTCCTACCCTTCGCACCCCAGCACCGGCGAGGCAGCGCCAGGGCCAGAGAACCCCACACAACGCGCGCGCGCTAGCACGCCACACGACTCGCGCATCTGTCACGCAGGGCCTGCGAGGCAACTCGAGCAATGGCGCGAAGTTGCTGCACTCTCCCAGGCGGCATAGGAAATGCCCGCGCGATTATTTTTTGCGGGGGAGCTGCGGGGACTGCGTGTTTCGCGCGGGGGGTGCAGTCAACGGCACGCAGTGCTCTCTTTGGGGCCTCTACGCCTGGAGCCCCATTACCCCAGCAAAGCACCCTAATGGCAGCAACAGTGACCTGTGGCACGCGTGGGGCAGGTGGCAACTGCGGCTGTTGAACCTGCGAGACGACCTGCGACGCCTGTGGAATCTGTGGGAACTGTAGAACCTGTGCGGCCTGCGAGACCTGCGAGGCCTGTCGGACCTACAAGGCCGATGGGATCTAGAAAAATGGCCCACGCTTGAGCGAGAGGGCCATTCTGAACGACGGGAGCACAGCACCGATCCGAAAATGAGGCCCACGCTGCAGCGGGAACACCAAGTCGAAACACCGATAACAAACAATGTGTGACGCACCCTCGGAACCACTAACTTTGGAAATCCGGAGTATGACAAAAAGCAGTACGCCGACAGGGCGGAGCCACCCCCCAGACACTTCAGGGGAGAGGAGAGAGGAGAAGTGTGTCCTTATTTTATAACCGTAGAAGAGGAGCGGACTGACGGAGCGGAAAACGTCCCCCTCCCTCTGGCTTGGGAGCAGCCCAGAAGACAGCCCAAGCAACACTCCGAGCCAGGTTCCCCCACCAACTCTGAATCCCGACTTTTCCCTATGTATCAGGCGGGACATCACGCAATCCTCGCCAGAATCGGATAGGGGGAGGAAAGAAGGACGGCACGGAAGACGGGGAGGAATAGGCGGCGGAGACGGGGGGAACAAGGATAGTGTAGATAACAATGTGTGTGAATTCGCGGCATACGTATATAAAACACACATGTGTACACCTACATTTTATAAATGTATAAGCATACACGTGTATATACATTTAGTCATGCCCATCTCTGCACATTTATATATATATATATATATATATATATATATATAGATGTATATATACACCTACCTACCTACCTACCTACCTACCTATCTACCTACCTACATGCATACATACATGCATACATGCATGCATGCATGCATACATACGTACATAATTATACATATACAGATTATGTGTATGTGGATGTATATATATATATATAGACCCACGTACGCACGATTGTAATTACATTCCCTCCTCTGAGCAGGTGGGACCTCTCCTTCACACAAACCAGAACCACCTGGATTTATGGCCCCGGGGGGCCCCTGGACGCTCCTGGAGGTTCCCACTCGGGTTTTCCGGAGCTCCTGGAATCTCCTGCGGGGCCTTGGCAGTGGGCCCAAATCGGTCAAGAGGGCGGTCGAACAGCCCCCAGAGGGACCCTAGAGGCTCCAGACAGCCACCAAGGGCTATATCAACTGTGCCACACCAGCTGGTCTCTCTGGGCGCGAGCTTGCGCAAGCCAGCGCGGCCGCAAAGATGCGCCAACCAGTGTCAAGCAGATCCGCAACAACGGCCGCATTGGCTTTGCAAAACAAGTTACGGGTGTGGCGGGTGGCGGTGGGATGTCTGCACGAACAGTGGAGTTGTCAACTTCAAGTCCTGCAAATGAATTGCACCGAAAAGCTCACACCACATAGCGTGCAACACGTACTAGCTTACATTACATAGCTTGCACGATGTAGCCTGTATCACGTAGGTTGCACAACAAAGTTGCACTACATAGCTTGTACAACGTAGTTTGCACCACATAGCTTGCACCACATAGTTTGCACCACGTGGATGGCACTACATATCTTGCACCACCTAGCTTGCGCCACGCGGATTGCACCACGCCGATTGCACCGCGTAACTTGCCACACAGAGCTTGCACCACACTGCTTGCACTACATAGCTTACACCACATGGTTGCTCCACATAGCTTACACGTCCGAAGTGCATGGGCTCACTGTTTCGGGTCCACGCTGGCTAACATATATGACAACCAAAGGTGGACCCCAAAAAGTGAGCTATCGCACCGTTGAGGCAAAAGCCATGCTGAGTAAACTGTACGGTGTTAGCTATGTTGTGCAAACGATGTATATGATATCAGCTATGTGGTATAACCAGTGTTGTCTAGAACATGTGTGAGCTATGGCGCGCATTTGGTTTACATGAGAAATCTACCACCACGTAGCTTGCAACACACAACTTCCACCACATAGCTTCCCTCATATAGCGTACACCTCATAGTGTAACACAACATAGCATGCACCGCATACTATATACATATATAGACACATACATATATATACATAACATAGCTTGCGCCTCACAGCTTAACCATGTAGCATGCACCACAGAGATGACACCACTTCGCCTACATTTCCAGAGCACAATCACTCGTTTTCGGGTGTCCACGTCGGCAGACATACTTGTACTTATGTACACATCGAGGAGGAGGAGGAGGAGGAGGAGGAGGAGGAGGAGGAGGAGGAGGAGGAGGAGCAGGAGGACCTCTGTGTGTGTTGCTTGTGTGCGTGCAGGGAGCCTCCGAATCGGCCCAAGAGGCGCTGCCTCGCCCCACAGCAGCCCAAGAGGCGCACCCCACGGGAGGGGACAGAGACGAGGCAAAAGGGGCCCAGGACAGCTCAACAGAGGGCCCCTGGACGGGGCTCCAGAAAACCGACGACTCGACCCCCCGACCCCACCCACCCTCACCCTCCGGCTCTCCCCCCCCATCGTCTTTTAGGGTCTCAAAACGGTGCGGTGAAAGATCGTGCGGTGAACGCGGAACCGCCAAACCTCACAGCACGGTTTTGGGACCTCGGAGGCCCCAGTCGCCCCAGGCACCCTCGGAGAGCGATCCAAGTCCCAACACCGTACGGCCACCGCGAATCCGGCCGCGAATCCCCACAACATGCCCTGAGATCCGACGTCGCGGAAAATTCACAATCGTGAAGAATCGCTACCAGAGCCCAGGGTCTCATCTCTTCTGCAAGTTTTCCAGCCGGATCGATGTGTGAGGGTCCCGGGGCCCGAAACCCGACGAAAACGCCCAGCTCCAAAAAGTCGAGACGCCAGGATCTCAGGGTCACCCCGTTGAAGGAACAAACTTTTGCAGCAAGCAAGTTGGAGCCTCGTCGCATGACACTCTTCCGCCTCCCTGGCCGTGATATTGCACAGGCGTCCCCGGAGAAGCGAGGCCGGACAAATCTTGAGCCACACATCTCGAACGCAGCACTTGCCAATGCGAAGGCAGGTGTGGAGGGGGGAATGTGGCTCTTTCTAGTTCGGGCGCTGCTGCTGCAAAGTGTGGTTCCTTCAACCGCCTCACGGTGAGGTCACCGCACCGTTCGTGGGGAAACCACGAGAGAACAACACTGGCCAGGATTCCGAGGCGAATCCGGCCGTGGCGACGATAGCCTCCCAGGAGGCCGAAAAGGGGAAAACGGGGGAAGGGTAGCAGTATCGATACCCTTTCTGATAAACCAACAAATGCCCTGAACCCTTTGGGAGGGAACCTAATATAGGAGGGCCAGAAACATTAGGGATAGGGGGTATGTCTGCAGATGTATCGAAGTCAAATCCGACCAGATCTATGATCCCTAATGCGAAGACGGGGACCTCAGTGAGGCCACGTCTTCACTGTGTCATTAGGGTTGCAGTAGGAGCCCGACAACAAGAAACCTTCCACAAGAAACCCAACCCTGAGACCCCAGGACGTTCCTTGATTTTTGCGATGGGAACGTGACATTTTCCATCGCAAAACCATCGGGACCCAGGAAACCCTGGGAACCCTGGAGGCAAGCAGGGTGTCTCTTGGCGGGGGGGTCCACTGCAGGGGTCTTCTACTCTCGATACCTCTCCCTTCTCTTGAGCAGGGGCCGACCGTCCCGACATTCCTATAGTCCTACCACGAAATGTTCTTAGAACCCAGAAATGTTCTAAGAACAAAAACCATGTTCTTAGAACAGAATCCCGATGTGATAAAACAAAACAGACAGCGAAAGAAATGTTCTGAGAACATGTCGTGGAGACCACAAAAGGTGCTTAGAATATTGCTTGCTGGGGCTATAGGCGAGCCAGGACGCTTCGCCACTGCTTAATCCTCTGGGCTTGGGGCCCCCGGGTCGAGCTCGGGGGGGGGGCCCTGACCTTCCAGAGAGCTATTTCTTAGCACTGGAGACCTAAAAACGTAAAAACAAAAAAAACGAGACTGCCTAAAACCAAGATGTAGAATAGCTCTAGGATAGGTTTTTAGGTCGGGTGCTATTGTTTAGCCCTCCTGGAAGGTCAGGGGGGCCACCGCCCCCGCAGAGCGAGGCAGGCTCCGGGGGGCGGCCTGCGTCGCCCCGGCCAGCACGGGGCCCGAGCGCCGCTGGAGCCTGCGAGCGAGGGCGTAGCCCAGCACAAACAGCGCACCTCCGAGCGAGGGGGGATCGAGGATCGATCGATCGAGGATCGAGGACCGATGGCGGATCGAGGATCGAGGGCCGATCGAGGATCGAGGATCGATCGAGGGTCGGGGATCCAGGATCGAGGATCGCGGATCGAGGGTCGATCGAGGATCGAGGATCGATCGAGGATCGAGGATCCAGGATCGAGGATCGAAGATGGAGAGTCGATCGAGGATCGGAGATCGATCGGGGATCGAAGATCGAGGATCGAGGATCGAGGGTCGATCGAAGATCGAGGATCGATCGAGGATCGAAAATCGAACGAGGATCGAGGATCGATCGAGGGAGGCCCCTCGTGCTCCTTCGTCTGCTCGCCGCCATCGTCCTCGCCCTCGCCCTCCTCCTCCTCCTCCTCATCCATTCCTTGTCCTTCTAAATAGCTTCTTCCTGGCGTACCCCGAGGCCGGTCGAAAGGGCGGGCTGGGCGTTTCGCGTGAGACTTCGTCACCATGTATGTCCCTGAAGCTTAAACATTGACCACATTTTCACAGATGGAGGGCGGGTCATTTTCAAAATGTTGCTCTCGCCTTAGCGCCACGCACATTCGCTTAACACAATTGTTAGAGCTTCACGGATTGAGGGCGGGCCGTTTTCAAAATGTGGCTCTCGCCTAAGCGCCGCGCGCATTCGTTGAAAAACAATTGCAAGAGTTTCGCAGATTGAGGACGTGCCGATTTCACAACGTGGCTCTCGCCTTAGCGCCGCGAAGATTCGTTTTAGAAAAGTGTAATTGCTTCACGGATGGAGGGCGGGACGTTTTCAAAATGTGGCTCTCGCCTTAGCGCACATTAGTGGTAACAGTTTGTAAGAGCTTCACGGATTGAGGGCGGTTCCTTTTGAAAGTGTGGCTCTCGCCTTAGCGCAGCGCACATTCGTCTTAAAAATGGCAAGTGTTTCGCGGATTGCCACGCTCATCGTACCAGATAGGGCGTTTTGGCAAGATTCCGGTTTATGAGGGTGCAACATTTACATTGAGTCGCGGTGTTGACGTCCCCAGAATAGCGTCCTGGCACGATTCAGGATCGTCAACACGCAACAGTCAGGTTGATCCGTGGCGGAGGTGTCCCAGGAATAATGTTCTGGCACGCCTCAGGCTCTTGAACGTTTGTCTTCCAACGAGGCAACTCCCTCAGTGGAAATGCACCGTTGTATGGGCATATGAAGAGGGAGCTTGGAGGGAGGGTGTATTCCAGCATCGTTGATTACCCTTGAGTTTACACTGGTCCTCCTCTTCCTCCTTCTCCTCCCCCTCCTCCTGGTGCACATCCCCATCCTCATCGCCCCCACCCACATCGCCCTCCTCTTCACCCTACTCATCCTCATCATCATCCTCGTCCTCCTCCTCCTCCTGCATATCCTCCTCCTCCGCATCATCATCATCATCATCATCATCATCATCATCATCATCATCATCATCATCATCATCATCATCATCATCATCTGCACCACCATCATTATCATCACAATCAACATCATCATCATCATCATCAACATCATCATCATCATCATCATCATCATCATCATCATCATCATCATCATGACCATCATCACCATCATCATCATCCGTATCATCGTCATCATCGTCAGCATCATCATCATCAGCATACTCACCACAATCACACACGCTATCACCATTGCCATCGCCATTACCATCATCATAATCATCAGTATCCGTATCATTGTCAGCAGCAGCATCACCATCTTGAGCATTGTCATCGTCTTCGTCTTCGTCATCAGCAGCAGCCTTATCACCACCATCATCCGTACCCTCATCCGGATCATCATCATCACCACCCTCGTCAACATCATCATCATCATCATCATCATCATCATCATCGTCATCATCATCATCATCATCATCATCATCATCATCAGAATCCTGGTCACCATCATCACCATCGTCATAACCGTCATCGTTGCTGGCATGACCGCTATCGCCGTCATCAGCACTATCAGCATCACCAGCATCATCATTATCAGTATTATCACCATCATCACCAACACCATTCGTATCAGATCATCATCACCATCGGCATCAGCACCAGCACCATCATCGTCACCAGCATCCTCATTATCATCATCATCAGCACAACCATCATCATCCTCATCAGCAGCACAGCAAGAGCATCATCACCATCACCAGCAGCTTCACCGCACCAGCAACAACATCGACATCGCCATCGTCTGCATCGTCATCAGCAACATCTTCATCAGCAGCATCGGCATCATTAACATCAGCAGCATCACCATCATCAACATCATTATCATCGCAATCGCCATCGACAACATGGGCATCAGCATCAATATCATCCGCACCACCACCAACAACAGCATCAATACTACCAACAGCAGCAACATCACCAGCGCCATCATAATCATCATCATCCACCTCCTCCGTCGACTCCTCGTCATCATCACGTTCACCAGTGTCGCGGTCATCATCGCCATCACCATCATCAGCACCACCACCATCATCCAGCTAGAAACAGCAATAATAATAATGGTACGAACACGAACAACAATAAACATAGCAATAACCAGTGACATCATTATTAGTTCTTTTCATTCTTATTCACATTTTCATTATTCCCGCCACATCCACAATTAATTAGCATAACCACCATCATTAGTATCATCATCAACGTCGTCGGCATCACAAGTAGTACCATCAGCACCACCACCAACATCAGCACCAGCATCAGCATCATCATCATCACCACCAGATTCGTCATCTCGTCGTCGGCGTCGTCGTCGTCTTCGCCGTCGTCATCGTCGTCGTCCTCGTCCTCCTTCTCTTCCTCACCCTCTTCCTGCTCGTCCTCATCCAGGTCCAACCTCTACTGGCGGCCACTGCATGTCACTGCCCACTCGACACTGGCCGCCAGCGGCGATCAACCAGGGCGCTGGCCAATCCAAACGACTGGCGGCGATCATCGTTGCGTCGTCCACGCTGGGGTCGTCGCCGTGTCGACGAGGCGCACACCTGCGGTAATCAAACATCTCCTCCATGTAATCACACACCTTCTCCTCATCGTCATCTTCGTCCTCGTCCTCACCATCGTCCACCTTCCCCTCCTCACCCTCGTCCTGTGATCCTTGCCCTCCTCCTTCCCCTGCTCGTCCTCCTCCTCGCCACAATCAGCATCACCACCAAAAGCACTCAATACTCGCCATCTCTCCTCGAAGCCCGTGTCCGCCCCCCCATCGCCATCAACGCTATCACCATCACCAACATCATCGTCCTCGCCCTCCTCGTCCTCCTGATCCCCGTTGGGATCCACGTCCGTGCTCCTCGCAGTCCGTGTCCGCCTCCCCCCCCATCGCCATCAACGCTATCACCATCACCAGCAGCAACATCATCGTCGTCCTCGCCCTCCTCGTCCTCCTGATCCCCGTTGGGATCCACGCCCGTGCTCCTCGCAGTCCGTGTCCGCCTCCCCCCCCCCATCGCCACCAACGCCATCACCATCACCAGCAGCATCATCGCCGTCCTCGCCCTCCTCGTCCACCTGATCCCCGTTGGGATCCACGGCCTCGCTCCTCGCAGTCCGTGCCCGCCTCCTCCTCCCCCCCCCCGTCGCCCGGATCGTCGCGATTCCACGCCCCCTCTGCTCCATGTTTGCGGTCGCCCGCTCCGCGTCCGCCTCCCCCCCCCTCATCGTCTCCCCCCCCGTCGCCCGGATCGTCGCTATTCCGCGCCCCCCTGATCCACGTTTGCAGCCGCCCGCTCCGTGTCCGCCTCCCCCCCCCCTCATCGTCACCACGGCCCGCGAAGGACAGGGGCCACCCCCTGGAGCGCGGGCCCCTCGGGATCGGGAGGCACGGGGCCCTCCCGTCGCCGCCAGGAGGGCAGTCTGAGGACGGGCACGTCCTCCGACAGGCGGAGCTGGAGCTTCGAGGAAGTAGACAACATAGTCAAGCAATGCTCAACACAAGTAGCCCAACATGGTCAAAACATCGCCCCCAGACTATGTGTTTGACTATGTTTGAATATTCCTCCTGTCGAGGGACAGGCCCGACGTAAGGGCAGTCGTGGAGTCACGCATGATCATAACCGAGCGCTGGTCCCCGTCGTCAGCACCCTCTTTATCGTCGCCATGATCCCCCTCCATCTCTGACCGCCCCTACTCATCCTCATTACCAGCAGCCTCACCTTCATGATAGTATAGATTACAAAGAAAGCAAGCATCGATGATGCTATTATCATCACCATCATCATTACCACCACCATCATCATCCTCACCATCACCATCACCATCACCATCACCACCGTCACCCTCACCATCACCACCATTGCCACCACCATCATCAACAACACCAACATCCGTACCACCAACATCATCGTCAACATCACCATCACCATCGTCGTCACCGGCACCACAATCATCATCATCATCGTCGTCATCGGGTTCTTCTTCATCGTCGTCGGTTTCGTTATCACCATCATCGTCGTCACCAACATCAGACTCAAGGCCACCGTGCACGCGAGCAACCCCTACCGCACAACCACTCTCTGATGCATTCCGATGTCCGCCCGCCAGCCGCGGCAATGGCAAGTGCCGTGGGCTGCCATGCACACGCGAACGATCCCCTGGCACGCGTTTTCAGTGTGCTCAAAGAGCATGGTCCAGAACAGAAAGGCACACACGTAGAGCGCAGCAAAAACCGCGCGACAAGAACGGGCATGCACACGCATGCTCGAACACATCCATAACAGAATGCATGGTGGCCAGAACGGGCAGGCACACGCATGCTTCAAAGCTGCAGGCTTTCGCACTGCAACGCGACATACAGGAGGGCAAGGGTAACCTCCCCGACTCGACCTCGATCGTATACCTCGGTCCGACTGTACAACAACAAAGCCTGCGCGGTCCTGGCCCGCCGTCTCGCGAGGTTGCACTCTCGCTGCGAATGCCAGCACGCCTTCTGTCCGAACGGGGCTGCGTGTCGGAACGCTGTGGAGGCGCCCGCCAGCCTGCGCTGCACGCACACGGTCCCAAGCAAATGACACCTGGCGGCAATTTGTGCACCGTACACGGCGGCGTGCTGGGGCATCGCCCGCCCATAGGCTCAAGTCGGGCGCGTCCCCCTACAGGGGGATTGTCGACGAAAAATACGAAGAAAAATACTCCAACAACCTTCCATATGGCAATTCATGTGCGCCAGAGGCCGAACTCTCTGAGACACGCCCAGATCGAACAGATCATACCGTTGGAACGCTGGGTACGCCACGTCTGGACCCAGAGTTTTTACCAGCCCACAGCAAATATCCATCCCTGTGGTTGCCAGTAATGGAGGATGACGATCAATCAATGACCGGGGGTCGTGTTCACGCGGCGGCGCCCGGGATGACGATTAGAAAAACCAGCCGCGGGCTGGAACACTTTTTTTGATCGTTCTCCTCCAGTCAGAAAATTGTGCAAGAATAGCAGAAAACTATGTTTAATCGCTCCCTCCCATTTTCTATGAATCGTCATCCCGCAGTACCGTGCCTCGGTGCCGATCTTCTTCAGGATTCCTCCAGCTTCTACCCGGAATCGGCGCTGCCTCGTCCATAGATCGGCGATGGGTCCCCCCGTGGCGAAGCCGCCGCTTCCTGGGCGGGCTGGGGCCGTCGGGCCCCTGTCGGCGATGCATGGGCGATGGAGGGTCGATGCCCCCCTCAGACTTGGTGATCCCCTGTTTACCAGCCTGGAACATATCCCTATCCCCATGCTGGGCACCTCCTCACCACGATGCCAATCTTAGGGATTCCCCCATTTTTTGAGGGCGAATCCCTAAGATTGCCATCGCCTTTTGGCGTGTCAGTCTTGGGGACAGGGATGCGTTCGAGGCTGGTAACCTGTGGCTATCCCCCTGTCGGCATCCATGGGCGATCCCCTGTGCCTATCCCCCCCCCCTATCGTGGCCCCCAGGGGCGCAGCAGCAGCACGTCGAGACCTCCGGCGGCACCCGCCGAACGTGGGCACGACGGGCCGACGCTCGCAGCAACCGGCCGCTCCTGCGAGCGGGGTCTACGAAACGTGCGACGGCGCAGGGGCCCCCGAGGCGCCGCCGCTGACTGGCAGTGAAGAGGGCCCCCTTTCACCTTGTGGATGCCACGACACTGGACACTCTAACAATCTGACCATTGAAGTAAAAAATGTGTCGAAGATGTTTGAAACATGTCCAAACATTGTTTCAAACATGTTCTAAGCGTATTTAAACATGTTTGAAACGTGTTCTAGATGTCTGAAAATTATTTGGCAGCATGCTTCCATTAATCGAATTCCACACAACTAACCCTTTGAGAGGGCAGTTACGCATCAGGGATAGGGGGTCTTTTTTGCAGATTCATCAAACCCAAACCGCCCAGATATGCTACAGTCGACCCGTATCACAAGGATGCGCGGTAAGGATGCAAGGGCCTTAGATGCCCATGTGAACGTTCTTCGAACGAGGTTGGCCAGCAACGTCGCTGAGGATGTGCCGAAGGGGCAAGGATGCAAGGGTACCCCTGGGAAGGTTGCCCATCCTTGCTACGCGGGTTGACTGCATCCCTAATGCAAAGACGGGGACCTGAGTGAGGCCACGTCTTCACTCTTCTGGACGCCCGAAATGGGTACGGAAAGAATGGGTACAATGCCCAACAACACATGTTGTCCCACACCAACAGCGGCCGCTGCTGGGCAGGCGGCCTTCTGCCTCGAATGAGCACGGGCCGCGGCGGCGTGGCCAGCGAGTCCTGTTCAAAATGAACCAGATCCGCTGTTGGGCATTGTACCCATTCAGGCCTCGGAAAAAATAGCGAACACTCATGCCACATTCATCTTTGAACGCCTCCCCCTCCCCCCAATGTTCCAAGTTGGCGGTGGGTCTGACGAGTTGCACCTCGACCGCAGTCTCCCCCGCGCGTGCCAACCTTGAGTTTGGGGGGCAGGGCGGGTGTTCACTAATTGTTTCCCTCTACCGGATGTCCATCACTGTGGTTGCCATTACCGCACCTCGGTGCCGATCTTCTTCAGGATTCCCCGAGCTTCTGCCCGGAATCGGCGATGCCTCGTCGACAGATCGGCGATCGGTCCCCCGGTGGCGAAGCCGCCGCTTCCTGGGCGGGCTGGGGCCGTCGGGCCCGTCGGCGATGCATGGGCGATGGAGGGTCGATGGGGGGTGTTCACTAATTGTTCCCCTCTACTGTTCTTGCCGTGCCCCTTTCGCTCGTGCAGAAACTCTGATTAGGGGCTCTCTTCTCCTCGAGGCTCCGACCGCGATCGCCCGCCCGGCTCAGCGGTCCCCGAGAGCCAGCCGGTGGCGCCCGCCACGAGCTCCCGGGCCGTGGCTCGCTGCCGCCAGTCCTGCAGTTATGTCGGGGCGTGTCCCCCGCCCTATAGGGGGATTTTCGACGAGAAATAAAATTTACCCCGAAAATTGTATAAAAACAAAAAACAGTCTGGGGACTATTTTTTGCATAGTTTTTGACTTTTTGGGGGGGGTGTTTTGGGGGTATTTTTAATTTTTCGTCGAAAATCCCCCTGTAGGGGGACAGGTCCGACTTAGTCCTGGAGGCAGCACCGCTGCAGAGCCCACGCGCTGCCGCCCCACGCGCCGCGGGGCTGCTCGGTCATCGCTCGCCCCCTCGGCGAGCCGCCGCCGCCGGCGCTGCCGTCGGCGGCGTCGTCCGAGGGCGTCGCGGTGGAGGCCGCCGCCACGGAGGTCGCCGGCGGCCCGCCGTCGGGGCCGCGGGGGGGCGCGCGGCCGTGCAGCATGAAGTGCAGGCACAGGCCGAGGGACCAGACGTCCGCCGGCGGCGCGTACGGCCTGCTCAGGACCTCTGGGGCGCGGAACTCCCTCGTTCCGGTGGGGGTCAGGAGCTCGCCTCCCTGGGTGCTCGCGGCGACGTTGAAGTCGATCAGCTTCAGGGCGCCCCTTGTCGAGACGAGGCAGTTGGCAGGCTTCAGGTCGCGGTGAACCGTGCTCCTGCCGTGCAGGTAAGCCAATCCGGCAGCCGCTTGGACGAACAAGCGCATGGAGCACAGCTCGTCCAGGCGGCCCGCACAAGTCGAACGCACAACCGAACGCAGAGTGCGGCCCGCGATGTCCTCCAGCACCAGTGCCACACACGATGGCGATTCCAGGAAATCTAAGGCGACGATAATGTTAGGATGTCTGAAATCGGTGAGGAGATCGAATTCCCGCTTCGCCACGGACGCCTGGCCTGTACCCAGGCGGCGCAATGCCTTGATGACGACCGTCCTGTTATCACAGAGCCTCAGCGCCCTGTAAGCAACGCTTGAAGACCCCATACCAATATGTTCAAACCTGGCAAAGTTGTTGGTTACAAATTCACACCTGAGATGATTTGGCGCATGGGCTCCGACCCCCTCGGCCACTTGAACGGCATGCTTTCGCAGCTGCGCTTGCCGACCACTCTGTCGAACGACGGATGGCACGCTCGCCAAGGTTATGTCGGTAAACGAAGCCCTTCGCCCCCGCAGAGTCGAAGCACGAGCTATGCTGCCCTCGTTGGAGGCCGCCCGCCTTTGCTGTTCCTCGTTGGATCTGGCCGAGCCTGGTGCACGAGCCATTGCTGCGGCTCTGCGCGCACCCACTGCGCAGTATCCGAGGGCGACGCGCATGTGCGCCCCGATGTCGCTTGAGCCAGAGTTGGGACGGAAAGCTTCTGGAAGCTTCGCGGGGGGCCTGTCGAGCCTGGGGTCGTCTGGAGGCCCTGCGGAGCCGTCTTGGCGGCCTCGAGGACGGCATCGAAGCCGTCTCTGGCCGTCTCGGAGCCTTCTAAAAAAGGTATCGTGGGCCGCGGCCGACCGTCTTGGGCGGTCCTAGGGCTCCTCGACAACCGCTGGCGGATCATCCTGGGGCCTTGAAGGCTCCTGGGAAGCGATGGGTTGAGATCTTTGGAACATTCAGCCCCATATGCTGTTGAACGATGTGAGCCTGCTCTTGAGAGCCTCTTGTGAGCCGCGTGGGGGCTCCTTGGGGCCATCTTAGGGTTTTCTCGGGCGGTCTGGAGGCCATCTGGGGCAGTCTGGGCGGGTTCCATGGCCGTCTTAGCGTCCTCTGGGCAGTCTGGGAGCAGCGGCTGTGTAAGGGTTACGCCTCTATTTTGGTTGGAGCTTTCTGGGGCGTCTCTTGCGCCGTCTCCGAATGTAGGGACGCACAGGCAGGCGACGATGGAGAACATCTCTGAAAAAGCCAACAGGACATGAAGGGTTTCTGCCTTGTAGGGCCTTTGCGGAAACCAGTTTGGGGCTCTCTTGGGGCGGGTTGAAGGCCTCTTGGGCCGTCTCGATGCGGCGGCCGCTATTGCGCCCTGTGGGCTCCCTCGAAGGCCTTCACGGCGTGCCGAAGCTCTTTGAGGGGGGGCCGTCTCGGGGCCTCTTGAGCTATCTGGAGCGCGCCTTGGGCCGTCTTGGCGCCCTCGCGGGGTGTGTTGGGGCCCTCTTGGGCGCCTCTTGTGCTCGCCTGGCGTCGTGCAGCGGAGCAAGCGAATACGGCAAACTGAAACAACGCTAGAAGCTCTGTGTTTTCTGCCTATGAATGTTTGAACCCTTTGGGGGCGTCTTGAAAACCTCGTGGGCCGTCTCGAAGCAATGGTGGGCCTGCTGAGGGCGCTTTGGGGCCCTCTGGGCCCCCTGTAAGGCGCTTGTGGAGGGTCGAGCCCCTGTAGAAAGAGAGAAATTCCCGAGCCGCGAAGGAAACCTCGGAAACGTCCAGGACCCCCTGCACCTTCCACGCGGCACTGTGGCAGCGCTTGGGCCCCCCCCGGCCTATTTTTTGTATGAGGCTGTTTTTGTTTCTCTTTCTCTCTCTCTCTCTCGCTCTCTCTCTCTCTCTCTCTCTCTTTCTCTCTCTCTCTCTCTCTTTCTCTGTATGTATGTCTATATACAAGACTGCAGTGGCGCTTCGCGCCATGCACCTTGGTCCTTGAAGTTTGGTATGCAGGCGGAATGGCAGGAAGGTCAAGCCGACAATTTAACGATAATTCCTTGCTGCCTTTTCCAGCATCGCCGCTAAAATGATGTGATTATCTTGCACAGTTGTGTTCTAGAGCTCAAACC